ATCATTGCATATCCATTCGTATTTAGAAAGCTTGTCAAATACAACTACTGTATAGGGAAAATTAAAGCACTGCTAAAGTAAAGCCGGGCAGTTATTATCCCAAATCTCAGAAAATGTATGATGGTTCATAAAAGATCAGTCATTGAGATGTTTACTGTGGGGACAGATTACAGTTTGTAATACTATTACAAATCCTGTGTAATATATATTGAAAGTTATATACTTCCTTAAATTTCTAAAAATAAAAAATAAAATATAAGGAATAAAAAGAGAAGGAAAAAATAAAGGAAAAAAGTGCAAAGGAATAAAGGAAAATCAAAAAGCAATAGAAAAAGGGTAACTTCCAACTTACTTCAATACAGTTACAAATATAAAATACATTAATCTTTTGATTTAAAATTCAGAAGTAGTATCCACATAGAAACAAAGCTAAACAAACCTGGTTTTATATAATCTTAATTTCCCCTTCTCAATTTATCAAAGGCTATACCCGGGACAAATCATTCCTTGCAATGGTGGTTGATATTGTTCAAGAGCTAAAGCAACAAAACTCCAATCTGGTATATGGTAAGTTTATGGTACATAAACAATTCATTTTAAGTCAGCCTACCCAAAGGGATGCCTGCCATATGATAAGTGAACTTTACTATACCAACTGGGCATGATAGATACTGATGACTAACAGCCCTGGAGAGCACTAGGTTGAAGAAGGCTGCTATTCATTATATACTATTGGAGATTCCTAAATTTCGGATATATTTTTAGAGGTGTTTATGTTATAAAAAATTAGTATTAATCATCTTGACTTACAACTTAGTTTGGAGATAAAGGAAAATTGTACTCCTTAATTACAGTTCACACACATTTCAATTACAGTTCAAAAAAACACATTCACTTAGAATGCCTTCAAAATATGATTCCACAGACTTTGAAGAAACTGGTAGTCCAGCTTCTCAAGAAGCCATTGCTGAATCCAGTGGAACCAGATAATTTGGCAGAACTGGATAATCCAACTCTTGAGATTTTTCCCATTGGTCCCAGGCAAGATTGCACTCCCTCAATCAAAGCCAATTTGCAATTTGGGATCCTCATGGCTCCTACTTGAGGAACAGGTGGCAACTGCAACTCAGAGGGCCTTTGAGTAACAACTCCATGTTTTATGCCAATCAAGTTTCTGGATCAGGAGACCAGTTTACAGTCACTCTTGTCTTAGTCATCTCCTAGTTGGATGTTGCAATGTGCTCTCATGGACTGTTCTTGAAGACCAACCAGAAACTGCAAATGTGAGCTGGTTTGGTTCTCAATAGATGTCTGAGTGCCATTCAAGGTACTTGTTATTATCTATAAAGACCTATATGACATAGGATCTGGTTACTTGCAGCACTGCTTCTACCCTGTCATCTCTGAATGTCCCGCTAGGTTGCAGAGAATGGGCATTCCCCAGGTCCCTTTTCTGAAGCAGTATCTAATGGGATGTAAGCTATGTGCCTTCTCTACTACTACAACTCCATCCCCACTCTGAGGATTGGATAGCCTTGACCCTATTGGCCCTCCCTAGAGCCATGAAGATCTGGCTATTCTCCTGTGCTCTGAGCCAAGATGGTAGATGAGCCCATTGTGTGATGTGTGTACAGAATATGTTTTTATCACTAATCTCAATTATGTATTGATTATGTCTTTGATTTTTGGGGGGGATTTTTGTTTTTGGTTTTGCATTGCATTTATTTTTTAAGTTTTATTTTGTACTCTGTCTAGAGTACAAAATTGTGAGAGGGATGGCCTTATAATTCTTTTAAATTAATAATTCAATATATCTCCATCACATTAATAGCTCTCCTGAAATCTCTCCATGGGCTTTAGAAAGGTACATGGGTAATACAAGAAGGCACAAAAACACCACAGACTAAGTTGGATTTGTGATGTTATCTGGGACTTGAGATAAATCTGTTAAATTACTATCTTTTTCTAACTGCTGTTTGCTCATGAATATAGAACAGAAAGCAAGACAATAAACATATCTGATGTTACAAGAGGCAGCTAACTATTTATTATGTTGGCTTATCTCTTCTAACATTAAAGAGGCAATTGGGTACCAGAACCTAAAGAGAATTTGAATACAGCAGTCATTGAGAAGCTTGCACCACATGTAACTATCGCCTGCTGTCCTTGAGTTTTCAAATAAGGCTGTGTGGGATCAAATTTTTTTTTTTTTTGCTTTTGAAGAAATAACACACTCTACCATGGTAGGACAGTCTTTCACAACCAATTTTCCTCCAGTTATAATGAACTGTTAAGTTACCCCCAACTGTCATTAGCCAGGGAAGAATAACTCAAAACTATGAAAGGCTGCTAGACTGGGAAAAGTTGTTTTAGGGCAGTGGTTCTCAACCTTTTTAATGCCACGACCCCAACCGGTCGTAAGTCAAGGACTAAACCGGTCGTAAGTTGAGGACTAAACCGGTCGTAAGTCGAGGATTAAACCGGTCGTAAGTTGAGGACTACCCAACCAGTCGTAAGTCGAGGACTTTCCCTGCCCGGGAGCGCCACGCATGCGTGGTTCCGCCCCCTGCACCGGCCAAGGCGTAGCTGGCAAGCGGCAGAGACGGAACAGGCCGACCACCAGCTGGCCCAGCCCAAGGGAGGTAAGGCACCCGCCGGAAAAGGGGGAAAAAATGGACAAAAAACATGGTGGACAGCCTTGCTTGGCGACCCCCGTAAAATGGTCGATCGACCCCAAATGGGGTCCCGACCCACAGGTTGAGAACCACTGTTTTAGGGCATTGGACTTTTCTTGCTGTTGTTCTGGCCACTTAGATGTTCAGGGCTTGAGAAGTGTTTCTCTGATATTTTAAGGTAGACACACTACTTGTGATTTTGCTTGACTTCTTATGGGCCCTTGTAAAAATGCACAAATGACCATTCTGGAGAGAGAGAAGTTCTCCCGAGGATGGGCTCCAGCATAAGTCCAAAAGCTTGGAAGAATAAACCTCTGGTCCCAGTCACCAGCAAAGGTTGGATCCTGCCACAAATGATCATTTTCTACTTTTTTGGTATTGCTTTTGCAGAGATCCACTTCTCAGCATAAGATAGGAACATTTTTTTAAAAGCAATGAATATCATCACTACCATGCCATTTAATGTGATATTATGTCATGATGTCATTATAGAAGATCTCTCTTACATCCCATTTCTGTACATTACTGGAAGTAGCATTGAAATTTGAAACAAGACCGACAGAGTTTTGTTTTAATTGTTACTAATTTTAAAGCATCCTTAGGTGCTACTACATGTTC